CTACCCTCGAGTCTCGGTTCCTGACACAGGAGGAAAATGGCCCTGTTGTCAGCGTACAGGACCGGGGCAGAGCTAGGCCACTCACCTAAGTCGGTGAGCAAGAAAGTCAGCCAACAGAGCTCCTGTGCCGCAATGGCACCGGCGTAGATCTCAGCCTCACAGCTAGACTGGGCAACAGACGAGGAGCGAGTGGACCTCCACGAGATGGCACCTGAACCAAGGCTAAAGCAGTAGCCCTGGGAGGACCTGAGGGTCTCAGCATCGTCTGCCCAAGAAGCGTCTGTGTGCCCGGTAAGGACCACTGGTCTCCGTCCTCCTAGCACTAGCCCCATGCCCGATGTACTTGCTAGATAACGCAAAACCCTCTTAGCTGCAGACCAGTGCTATGGGTCTGCCGGAGGCCACAAAGCGGGCCAGGATGCTGAGAGGGTATGCGAGATCTGGACGAGTGCAAGTCATCAGGTACATGAGGCAACCCACAGCTCTGCAAAAGGACCACTAGGCTCGCCAGCCTCCTCCGGGACTGGAGCAGAGAGTCTGTGGTCTACTGGCAGAGGGGTGGGCTGTGCAGAAGAGAGTGACTGTGAGAGAGTGATGGTGCGCACTGCTCTGTCCCTAGAGATCTGCAAGCCAAGGTAGCGGCGCAGCTCTCCTAGGTCAATGCAGGTGTGTCTCCTCAGCAGCTCGGCCTTCACGTAAGCCAGCACATCTCTGTCTGCAGTAGCAAAGACCAGATCATGTACGTAAACAAGGATGTAGAACGGAGTCTGGCCGGAACGGACGAAGAGCGAGGGGTCTGCAGACGACGGGAAGAACTGCAGGTCAGTAGGTGTAGCACACAGCGTGTCATGCCACTCACGGGGCGCCTGACGCAGGCCGTAGACGGGGCGCCGGAGGAGCCACTCGGTGCCAGGGGGAAAGGTACCGGAGAAGCCCTTGGGGGGGCGCAAGTAGACTTGCTCGTGTAGACTGCCTTGGAGGAAAGCTGTGGAGAATTCGAGTGAGTGCAGCTCGTAGTGACATTGTGCTGCTACGTGTAGTAGTGCTCGAAGAGTAGTCATCTTCGGGGTCGAGGCGAAGGTCTGAAAGAAGTCAACCCCCTCACGCTGACTGAAGCCACGAGTGACGTAGCGCGCCTTGAAGACAGGCGGCTCTCCAGGGGGGCGCTTCACCTTGAAGAGCCATCAGACATCGACTACGTTCGCCCCAGGTGAGAGAACTGCGTCGACGAAGGTACCGGTGGATCTCCAAGATGTCATCTCCTGCTCCATGGCAGCTATCCACTGAGAGGCCCATGGTCCTCAGCGTAGGTGCGAGGGGTCGGGATGTCAAGGGCGTCTGGGTCACCCTCAGGGACTAGTAGCATGGAACAGAGATGGGGAGCGGCCTCTGATAGGAAAGCAAGCTCGTACTGTCTGTCCTCTTGGACGTCACTGCGAAGGGCAGCCACACCCCCGACGAACGGAGGGCAGGCAGGGTCAGAGACCAAAGCGGTGGCGTAGTCAGTGACAGCAGCAACAAGAGCCGACAGCGTCGATACATGAACGGACGGGTTGGTAACAAGAGAGGGAAGGACACAAGGAACAAGGAGACGCGCGGCACGGAGGAAGTCAGAAAACGGAGGCGGGGCCACAGCGAGCGACGACGGAGGAGGAGAGGGGAGGAGCCGAGGAGCACGTGACGCATGAGAGCGAAGCAACATAGGGTGAGAACTCGGAACAGGGGAGGTAGGACGAGCACGGGACGGACGACGAGCCCAGACGGAGGAGTCGGGTCAGGAGAGAGGGGAGGAGACACAGGAGGAGAACGAGGAGGGAAAAGAGCTGGAGAAGAGTCCACTGGGGGAAACACAGGGCCGTAGACCGGCAGAGGAGGGGGCGGCGGCGACCGAGGAGGCATCAGGGCAGTCAGTAGAAGGAAGGCCAAGGAGGCGAAGAGCGGATACCGGCGGCGACGGCGACGGCTGCTGCCTGACGCCAACACCAGAACCTCCAGCAGGACCACGGCTCCCTCCAAGAAGCCCCACGCCAGCACCCCCAGAACGCACAAACCCTAGCGGCAGTGACAGCGGCAGCTACGGAGGCGGCTGCGGCTGTGACAATAACGGCGGCGACAGGGGAGGAGAGACCGGGGCGGGGAGAGGCGGGGGAAGGGACTCCGCCGAGCCGCGAGAGTCACTAGACCCCTCGGCAGAGACAACCGATGGTAGGGGGGTGATGTGAGACACACCAGACGGGGCAGGGCGAGGAGGGGGAGGAGCAGGGGCGACTGGGGGAGGGGGGGGAACCAGGAACTGGGGGGGAGTGACCAGGGGACAAGGGTGGGGAAAGCGGTGGTAGAAGGAGACGGACTCGTCAAAGGTGACGTCGCGAGAGTGAAAGAAACGGTGAGACGGCGGGTGGTAGAAGTGCCAGTCAGACGACTCGAGGGGGAAACCTAGGAAGACACATGGGACGGTGCGGGCAGTGAGCTTGTCCATGCCAGAGGCACGAACGTGAGTAAGGCAGCCCCAGACGTGGAACGCACACGCATTACCAGGAGACCCGGTCCAGAGGAGAGTCGGCGAAACCTGCGGTCGCTGAGCTTGCGGCCACAGGTTATGCTGGTGGGCGGCGTAGCGAATGGCGAACGACCACAGAAAATGGGGTGCACCGGCATGGATCATGGAGGTACGAGCGACCTCCATGACCAAACCGATGCGGCGCTCAGTGACCTTATTTTGTTGCGGGGAGTCCGGCAGGGTGTACGTCTGGGTGATGCCCTCCGCTCGACAGAAGCGACCAAGGCAGCCAGAAGCGAACTCGCCACCACGGTCGGAGTGAAGACGCAACACAGGGAGACCTCGGTGCACACGCGCAGAGACAAGTGGGGTAGAGGTATGACCGGTCTCACCGCACACGAGGCCGCGGCGAGGACCGGTTTGGAACTGGTACTGGCATCGCCCGTCACTCGCACCACCACCCAACGATGAGCTGCACGCACGACCACCGCGACCACCACCACCACCACCACCAGTGCCAGGCCACCCAGGCGGGAGGCGGCCGACCCTCCGCTGCGGCTGCTGCTGCTGCTGCTGGTCAAGCTGTGGCGCCTGCTGCTGCTCCCGCTAGGGCTGCCGCTCCGAGGCACCATCCCCAGCCCCCTCGTCGGTACTACCGCCAGCGGATGAACCACCGCCACCACCACCTCCACCCCCTCCTCCACTACCACCGCCGCGTTCAGCCTTTGGGCGGCGGGCCTTACCATAACTGGACTGCGCTGCGGCCACCGCGGCAGCGGTCTCAGCAGCAGGGGCTGTCTCAGCGACAGCCGCAGAACCGTCAGAGTAAGTGCACTGAGCAGGATCACAACCCTGAAAGATAGGGACCAACGCAGTACGGCTAGACAGGGCGATAGAGTGCTGGGTTTCTATGGCAGACAGGGTGTCGACAAAGTCAAAGAGGGTGAGGTCAGCGGGGTGCAGACTAAGAAATTGGTCGCAGATAGTGGCAAGGCGGTCGGGGAGGCGGGTGGCAAACAGGTAAAGGGTAGAGCAGATAGGGGGCTGGAACACACGAAGCTGGGCCTCAGTGCAGGCAGCGCGCCAGCTAGCGTCGAGCGTGCGCAGGTGCGTGGCCAGGACAGCGACAGTGGGGAAAGACACGAGATCAGGGAAGGGCATGGGAAGGATCAGGCGGCCGGCAGAGGCAGAGGACGGGGTGGAATAACGCTCGACAACAGCCTCTAGGAACTCCTGCGCAGTCGTGAGCGACTTAAAGTGGGCGCGCTCAGACAGGGGGAGGGCATGGCTAATCGCGAGCTGAGCGACAGCGTCACGCGAGAGCCAGACAGCACGGGCAAGGGCAACAGTGCACAGTAAGCAAACGTGGGGTCAGCGAGGAGAGCAACAGGGGGGTCAGGGCAGGGGAGCGTACCGTCAATGTGGACGGCCAGGGAGTGGCCGTCCTGCCGCTAACCAGTGAGGTGACGGCGGAGGTCGACGAGCCATGAGTCGAACTCAACCGTCTGACCCTCCGCGTCAAAGCGCAGCACCGAGTCCGTCATTAAGGCCGCTGCAGCCGCGAACAGGCGGTGAAGGGCGGGACGGGGCGACGAGGAGCAGTGGGGAGGAGTGCTGTACGGTGCAGTGCGGTGAAGTGCGGTGGGGCGCCGTGCACTGCGGTGACACGCGGTGCAGAGCGGTGCAGTGTGGTGGGGCACGGTGCAGTGCGGTGGGGCGCGGTGCAGTGCGGTGCTGAGAGGTGCAGAACGGTGGGGCGCGGTGCAGGATGGTGGAGAGGGCCGGTTAAGCAGGCGGGGACGGGGAAACATGGCGGCTGAGCAGCTGGGAGACGGGGCCGCGGGGCGGCTGGGCGATGGGGCCGCAGAGCAGCGGGGCGACGGGTCGCGGGGCGGCTGGGCGACGGGGCCGCGAAGCAGCGGGGCGACGAGGCCGCGGGGCGGCTGGGCGACTGGGCTGCGAAGCAGCGGGGCGACAGGGCCGCGATGCGGCTGGGCGACGGGGCCGTGGAGCAGCGGGGCGACGAGGCCGCGGGGCGGCTGGACGACGGGGTGGCAGGGCGGCTACGCGAGGGGCGACTCGACCGCGGGGCCAGCAGGACGGCTAGGCGCAGGTGACGGGGTCGCGAGGCCAGCGAGGCGGCTAGGCGCTAGGTGGCGGGGCAACGGGGCCACGGGCGGCTAGGCGCTAGGTGATGGGGCTGCGGGGCCAGCGGGGCGGCTGGGCGCTAGGTGGCGGGGCAACGAGGCCACGGGCGGCTAAGTGCTAGGTGACGGGGCCGCGGGGCCAGTGGGGCGGCTAGGCGCCAGGGAACGGAGCCGCGGGGCCAGCAGGCGCTAGGAGACGGGGCCAACGGGCCGGCTAGGCAACGGGGCAGCGGGGCCAATGGGCCGGCTAGGCAACGGGGCGGCTGGGCCAGTGGGGCGGCTAGGCGCTAGGCGAGGGGGCAGGCTAGGACCTAAGGCGGAAGCGCGGGTGGGCAGGGGGGACCAAACCTACTCATGATACCATCTCAGAGTTAGAGTTGTGTGATAGAATGAGAGTATACAGGGGTATATAGCTAGTGGGTTGTACTCTCTATGGCATGACCCTATGTAGTCTACTAAACATACACACATATGTTTGGCAACAACATTCCGCATCCACCCTCTTCTGATTCCCTTTACCCGCGCCTCATGCGCAGGCCTATTGACAGATGGTGCAGCACTTGAGAGTGCAGCACACCATTAGTCGCCACCACGCCCCCTCCATGGGGCTCGAAATGCGCCAAACTGCCATGGCTGCTGCTGCTGCTGCTGCTCCTGTGACTGCTACCACTGTGCTCCGATGCTGCTTCTAATAGGTCTTCCTGTTCTTCCGTTCCTGCTACCCCTCCCATAGCAAGCAGCTGCCCTGCAAAGTCGGTTACCTGAGAAACCAAGGGGCATAAGAAGAAAAGGTACAGGAGCGCAGGAGGGACAGAAGCAGTAGCAAGTGTGGCATCTGCTGTGAGCAGTCCCAAGGATAAGGGTGGAAATCACACAATTCAACATTTCCATGAGAGGCGGAAAAAAAACCGGCGGTCACATACCTGGCCGCCTGCCTCTGTGACGCACAGCACGCCCGCCGCGTGGTCCCACACCTTGAGCTGGGGGCTGCCTGGCAGGGGATGCTGGATGAACACTGCGGCATGGCCCAGCGCCACTGCCGCATACTTGCACAGACTGGATGGGGGAGGAGAGTGGGGCACGCGGGGAGGGAGAGATGTGCTACGAGTCACCTCAGAGCGAGCACAGCAGTGTGGTTGCTCTCGAGCACTGGGGCATAACCCAGGGCCAGTGCTGCACACTTGCACGGGGGAGCGGATAATGCCGCTCAAACACTGTGGCATATCCCAGCGCCACTGCTGCTACTTGCAGAGACTGGTACGTGGGAGGAGAGGAAGGGAGCGGGAGGAGAGACTGGTACGTGGGAGAAGAGGAAGGGAGCGGGAGGAGAGAGTGGTACGTGGGAGGAGAGGAAGGGAGCGGGAGGAGAGACTGGTACGTGGGAGGAGAGGAAGGGAGCGGGAGGAGAGACTGGTACGTGGGAGGAGAGGAAGGGAGCGGGAGGAGAGACTGGTACGTGGGAGAAGAGGAAGGGAGCGGGAGGAGAGAGTGGTACGTGGGAGAAGAGGAAGGGAGCGGGAGGAGAGACTGGTACGTGGGAGGAGAGGAAGGGAGCGGGAGGAGAGACTGGTACGTGGGAGGAGAGGAAGGGAGCGGGAGGAGAGACTGGTACGTGGGAGGAGAGGAAGGGAGCGGGAGGAGAGACTGGTACGTGGGAGAAGAGGAAGGGAGCGGGAGGAGAGAGTGGTACGTGGGAGGAGAGGAAGGGAGCGGGAGGAGAGACTGGTACGTGGGAGGAGAGGAAGGGAGCGGGAGGAGAGAGTGGTACGTGGGAGGAGAGGAAGGGAGCGGGAGGAGAGACTGGTACGTGGGAGGAGAGGAAGGGAGCGGGAGGAGAGACTGGTACGTGGGAGGAGAGGAAGGGAGCGGGAGGAGAGACTGGTACGTGGGAGGAGAGGAAGGGAGCGGGAGGAGAGACTGGTACGTGGGAGAAGAGGAAGGGAGCGGGAGGAGAGACTGGTACGTGGGAGGAGAGGAAGGGAGCGGGAGGAGAGACTGGTACGTGGGAGGAGAGGAAGGGATCGGGAGGAGAGACTGGTACGTGGGAGGAGAGGAAGGGAGCGGGAGGAGAGACTGGTACGTGGGAGAAGAGGAAGGGAGCGGGAGGAGAGAGTGGTACGTGGGAGGAGAGGAAGGGAGCGGGAGGAGAGACTGGTACGTGGGAGGAGAGGAAGGGAGCGGGAGGAGAGAGTGGTACGTGGGAGGAGAGGAAGGGAGCGGGAGGAGAGACTGGTACGTGGGAGGAGAGGAAGGGAGCGGGAGGAGAGACTGGTACGTGGGAGAAGAGGAAGGGAGCGGGAGGAGAGAGTGGTACGTGGGAGGAGAGGAAGGGAGCGGGAGGAGAGACTGGTACGTGGGAGGAGAGGAAGGGAGCGGGAGGAGAGACTGGTACGTGGGAGGAGAGGAAGGGAGCGGGAGGAGAGACTGGTACGTGGGAGAAGAGGAAGGGAGCGGGAGGAGAGAGTGGTACGTGGGAGAAGAGGAAGGGAGCGGGAGGAGAGACTGGTACGTGGGAGGAGAGGAAGGGAGCGGGAGGAGAGACTGGTACGTGGGAGGAGAGGAAGGGAGCGGGAGGAGAGACTGGTACGTGGGAGGAGAGGAAGGGAGCGGGAGGAGAGACTGGTACGTGGGAGAAGAGGAAGGGAGCGGGAGGAGAGAGTGGTACGTGGGAGGAGAGGAAGGGAGCGGGAGGAGAGACTGGTACGTGGGAGGAGAGGAAGGGAGCGGGAGGAGAGAGTGGTACGTGGGAGGAGAGGAAGGGAGCGGGAGGAGAGACTGGTACGTGGGAGGAGAGGAAGGGAGCGGGAGGAGAGACTGGTACGTGGGAGGAGAGGAAGGGAGCGGGAGGAGACGTGCGCTGAGGGGCCTGACAAGGAGAGCGGGGGACGGGGAACGAAAAGACGAGGCTTGATTCGACAAAAGAAAAGACCTGTTACGGCACACCAGCGCACCTGCCACAGCACATGAACACACCTGCCACAGCACATGAACACACCTGCCACAAACGGGTGTTATTTTAGATTGTAACCTACCCGCCATGGCCAAAACTCAACGCACCCACCTCGCACAGCGCATTGACCCACCTGCCACAGCAGAGCGGCAGCACGGTGATCTGGGAGGCATGGGGAGCGGCAGCCTCCAAGCCCTTGGCGAGGGGCAGCGACGGCCACACCTCATGGTCCGATATGCACACACACAAGGCGCTGCTGCTGCTGGTAGTGGTGCTGCTGCTGCCGCTGCTGGCGGTGCTGGCACTGTGTGCACCGTATGCTGGCATGGCAGCACTGCTGCCGCTGTGGCTGTGACCACTGCTGGAAACGCCATGGCTTTCATGCATGCCTCCGTGGCTGCTGCTGCTGCTGCTGCTGTGGCTGCGGCCGGTGTGGCTGCTGCTGCGGCCGTAATCATCCCAGTGGCTGCCATCGCTGCCACTGAGAGGGTGTGTCTCACTCACGCTGTGAGCGTGCGTGGTGCCATGTGCCAGCAGGTTCCGCACTCCCACATCCACGTGGAGCCTGTGATACGCTGAGTCAGCAACAATACTGACGTCAGCAGCGCTACTGACGTCACTAACACTTGGGGTGCTGCTGTAGTGCAGTCGGCGCATCCACGTCCCACCTCCCTTGCTGGCTGCCAGAATCACTCCACGTGGCTTCTGCCACATGTCATTTCCTGATTCGCTCCCCGTGCCACCAGCCTCACGAGCTGCTGCTGATCCTTCCACGTCAGCAGCATGGCTCGAGATAGAGGCTGAGGATGCGCCACGTGGCAGAGGCATGTTGGGAAGGCCAAGGGCTGATAGGACGACCTCTCCATCCTCGATAAGGGCCAACCCGACCTAAGTGATTGGAGAGGGAAGGATGAGTTACGGAAGAAAGCACATGCAACAACAAGATGAACTCACTCGGGTTAAGGAAGAGGAGAGGAAGGAACGAGCAGGAAGATGGCATGAGCAGAAATACACGCCATGCATGGCAGTCTCAACACATTTCATCTACTTACCCTACTACACCAGATCCACCTACCTCTGCAGCGGGCTCCCCAGTAGTGAATGCCTTCCACCCAGCAAGGCACTCACCACCCTCGCTTCCCGAGCACCGTGGGGATCAGGGCTTACGCTAGGCCCTGGGGTGTTTCAGAAGGTGCTGAGTTGGGGTCCAGTGATACCCAGAGTTTTCCGGACTCCTAGGATTATTTACTCCGAATCCATCCGTGTTCTACTCGAATGTTTGAGGCCCATGTGACGGATGCATTGGAAAGCATGGCAAGTCCTGAAAGTGACTGGAGAATCTTCTCCAAGCAGCGCCACATGGAAGTCCTTACAGAACGTGAGGAGGCATGAGTATTGCACACGGAATGCATCAGGATGTCAAGGCTCGTGGATTTGGCAAAACTCAGACATTCTGCATAACCCAACCTGCTCAAATCCGGGTTTGGGGTCGAAACAACTTCTCGGCATTCAGGGTTGCTACCCCTCTAGCGTAAGCCCTGGCGACGATGTACCTCGAATTGACCTTGTTGGGTGGTAGCGTGTGCTTTGTAACCACTATTCCAGCGCCACTTCCCTTCCCCATCGCGTCTCCATGCCATCAAGACATAGCGTTTCGCAACAAGGTTCAACGTGGTTCAACGTGGTTCCATGGGGTCATGACGCTTGTGTGTTGCTGCAGCAGGAGCAGAAATTCATTGAACCCTGTGAGCGGTTCAACACGGTTCAACGTGGTTTGATGCGAGTTGCCTGCAATAATAGAATGTATGACATGGTCCACTCACGGCGTACTGGTTGTGCTGGCCTTTAAGGAAGCCACGTGTGCCATCAATAGGGTCCACGACCTGGGGAGTAATAGCGGAGAAAATAGTCCAGAAAAAAAGGGAGAGGGAGGGGGGGAGGGGGATGGGGAGGGGCGACAGAAGAGAGGAGAGGAAGGGCAAAAGTTGGAAAAAGGGGCCTGGTGCACGCTATAGATAAATATTCAGTGAAGGGAGTACGGGGGAGGGGAGAAAGTGAGAGGTGGAGGAGAAGGAGAGGGTCGGGATGAAAGGCTGGTATACCCTTGATCATGCCTCTGGTAGGTACCTTCTTTGATCCATATTTTCCCGTACCAGAACCCACCCAGTATTTTTTGTGCCTAGCAGTAGCGCCAGCAGCAGCTTCTAGCTCGTGTGTGGCAGCAGCAGCGGCGTCAATGGCTCCCAGCACCGCCTCCACCGCTGCTTCCCGCCCCTCACCCGCCTCCTCCAAAGCGCCCCCCACTCCTCCACCCGATGGCACGGCGTGTGGCGAGGCGAATCGGTGCACCAGATCCGTGACCCGCTCTGCCAGCGATGGCAGCGGGAATGCAGCTCCTGCTGCTGCTCTGCTGGGTGGCGCAGCCACAGCAGCATCCACGTCTGCTGCCGCTTGTGTGATTCGAGCAGCCATGTCGGCGCGCAGCAGAGAGGCGTCCTCCTCGCCCACCAGAGGCGTGCCGGGGAACTGCTGAGCCAGCTCTGCAGAGCACGCAAAACACAAGGGGAAGAAACTGCTGGCACTCGCTGAGACTGTGTCTTTGGGGAAAGCAATGATGTGCGACTGTGGCCAGTGCTTGAGTATCAAAAGCTTGACGTGCCTGCTGCTGGAATGGAGGACCATGCAGTGGGAGATGGGCGGGCAGAGAGGAGGCTCATGGACGGACAGAGGTTAGGATGAAGAAGGAAGGGCGGCATGCCCCACCAACAGTTGAGATGGGAGGGCACTGGGATGGGAGGGTCCTACCGTTGAGTGGGGAGGGCTACAGGTCCGTCGTGGGGGGTAATGGGTGCGCTACCCACCACAACAACATGCCCTTTTAACCCAGTCCGTAGCGGGCTGGGCCAACATGGGAAGCACTTCCAGACACGACTTTTGGAAACCAGGCCATTAGAGCAAAGACATCACGTGGAGACGCTACCCACCGAGAGTAGCAAGAGCCTGAACAGCAAAGTCAGCGACGGTAACGGGCGATCTGTCTGTCTTGTCCATGCTGCTGTCGCTCTCACTCCCACTGCTGTACCCGCCCTGCTCCGCCGCTACCATCTGCTCCCTGACCTGCACATATCGGGCGCATGACCAACGGTAAGCAGCACACACCAGAACGGTGGGTGGCCTTTTTGCCCCTCGTACTGCTGCTGCTGTCACTCTCACTCCCACTGCTGCACCCGCCCCGCTCCGCCGGAAATATAAGCTGGAGCAGAAGAGGGGGAATTCGATACACCGGGAGAGGGGGATCAGCATGTGTTGAAGGACGTATCCTGTTGCCCCTGTGGCATTGTAAGGGAAAGTTTATTCCCCCACTTGAGCAAGTTCTTGCAGCGGGCTAGAATGGAAAGGGGGGGTGGGGGACGAGAGGAGTGAGAGAAGTGGAGGAGTGAGGAGAGAAAAGGGAGGGGGAGAAGAGGAGAGGTGCTTTATACTCACAGCAACGCACACGTGGCATGCTCTCTCCACCACATCCACTGCTGCTGCCAGCTCAGCGGCAAATTCAGGTCGGCAAATACCGCTGACGTCAGCCGCCACGTCAGTCCCTGAGACGGCACTTCCTGACCTGGCTGCAGATGAAGCAACCGAGGAAGGTGCCAGGAAGGAGCGATGGAGGCTGAGAGGAGGAGGGTTGGGGGTTGTTGAGCGAGCAGGGGGGAGGAGGGGGGGGGAAGGGGACAGAAGAGCAGCGAAGACTGGTGAATGCGGACACAGAATCATCTGATGGTATCTGTTACGCTGGAATCGAAGTGCACACGCTGAATTCGAGACGTATAGGTTGTTAAATTTGAGCGGTATTTCGCACAGAGCCAAAGAAATGAAGCTCATAACGCGGACGTTTGAACATGGAACGCCGAATTCAATCGCGTAACGCAGAATCTGAGCCAAGTGACGGAGAATACAAAGCACATAACGCTGAATCTGAGAGGTGTACAAACATCGCTGATCTGTACAGCATGGCGCCACTAATCCGACAGACAGCCCCGCTCCTGAGCGCGTTCATACTGAGCGTCAGGCTCGCGGTAAGTCACCCTGCTCCTTCGAAAAGGCATTCGTCCCTAAACCAAAAGGGCCACCAGCAGGCGAATTCCTCGTCAAACACGAGGCGCGCGCGCACCTGTGCGAATCTGCTCTGCCGGAGAACGAGCTCTGGCGACCAGCGACGCTGACTAGGCTCGCAGCGCTTGAAGACGCGGCTTGGAAAGCAGCCACGTGGCGTCCAATAGCCAATCGTCCTGCGGGTTCCACGGAGCGGCCAATCGGCAGCGCGACACGTGTATCGTTGCTAATCAATGGAGGGGAGTCCCGCAGCCGAGAGGCGAAGCCAAACCGCCGCGCGAGCGAATCTCTGAGCGCGCCGATTTCATCAGGAAGCTTGTGTGTGCCTAGCGGCGTGCGCGGGGCCTTAGGAGGCTGGCGAAGCCATTGCGCTCGGAGGGATTGCGCCATCGAGCTCGTGATGCGTGGAGGATGGCCACTACTACAAAATGGCGGACACGGAGAGCTTTGCTTCTGAAGCAGGCCTCAGGATATCAGGGTAAAATACCCTTACGGCCCTTACGATTAGGCTTGGTCTTGGACCCTTATTTTTAAAAGTGGTTTAGTTTTGGACCCTTATGAAAAAAACTATGTTTGTACCGGACCCTGATTTTCAAAAGTGGTGTAGCGTTAGCACCCTGATGCGAAAAAGTGCCTTTACGAAATACCCTGATGTGATTCTAGATACATGCCCCCCGTTTGTGGGGGGAAGATTTTTCCCCGAGTCACGTCGAAATCAGCGCCATTACTGCTCTGTGCTGGCGCGCGTCGACGAGACTGCTCCTGCGAGTCAAAGTGTGGAAAGAAGGGGGCGCAGCTGTCGATCCCCTTCTCCTCTGTTCGGGGCACCACTTCTTCTTGAACGGTTTCTTTCAAGCTGTTCTTGAGAGCACCGAGATACAATCTGCCCTGTGTTTGTATCTCTCACCCGCTTCCCATATTCCACTCGCCTCGACGACAGCCATGGACCCCGACGACGGCGATGAGGAGGAGGATGTCCTTAGCCCTTAGTTTCCTCCGTCGCGCACCAATCACAATCGCTCAGACGTGCCCACCTCCAACCTCCCCTTGCGTTGGGTCACCTCCTCTGACCGAACCCATAGCGGATGTCCCTGAGCGTACACCCCATCTCCCGCTGCTCTACTGGTTTCCGCCTCTGGGGGTTCTCCTGCCCCATCCCCAACTGCTGTGGGCTTGACGTTGTCTTCCGCGAAGCGGAAAGGGAGCAGCCTGCAGCAAAGTGGCGGCAGTAGCGTCTCCCCTTCGCTCGGTCAACGGACAAAGCGCCTGTTGAGGAACCCGACGACGTCGCCGACGACGATGATGACGAGGATCACGAACCCGTCGACCAAGAGAGTTCTACAGATCCACAGGCTGCTTTTGCAAAAGCGCACCGACGTTTTAAGTATTCTTGGGAGAGTTTGTTCCCTTGGCTTGTCCTCGACCGTGCTGACGATGGTTTCCCTGTATTGCGCTGCAGCACTTGTCTCGAGCACGGAGTTTCAGGCGCGGACACCAAGTATGGCAAGGACGGTTGCGGCGGACGTGACACGCAGAAGAACAGCATCCAGACTCACCAGCGCTCCAACGTCCACCGCGATGCCTACCGTCTGATGAAGGCAAAGCAGTCGAAGATGTTGCAACAAACTCTCCTAAACGAGTACGAGGGGCTCGACAAGAGCACGCTACATCTCATCACCGCCATGAAGACGGCGGTGTACACGTGCCAATCGGAGGCGCCGATAACATCCTACGTCAGCTTCATCAAGTTCATGGCTTCAGTGCAGATGCCCAACCTCCCTCTGGATCAGAAGGGCGCCTACTTTTCAGAGTAAGTAACTTCAAATTTGGATTTACCGGGGCATGTCTTTTCGATCTTAGTGTGTTTTTTTCCAAGTACCGAGCAAGCATATTAGTGGTCCATGAAATGCAACATATCTGATTACTCTCTTGTTTCATTGTGCTTGTGCTTGGCAGATACGGATTCAACGAGTTGGTCAAGGTCGCATTGAAGTACCTACGAGAAGAGCAGCTGAATAACATCGCCAACATCCCTTATCACGGCATCGCTATTGACGAGAGCACGGACCGTGTTAGAGGGAAGCATCGGATAGTATATGTGACTTACATCAAGGATGGCTATGTGCGTACCGAGTTCCTGACGCTCCTCACCGTGCAAAAATGTGATGCGGCAAGCCTCACTAAAGTTCTGGAGACTTACATGCAATTGGACGGCATCGACATGGAGAAGATCATCGGGATAAGTACGGACGGCGCGTCTGTCATGGTAGGCGAGCACAAGGGCGTCGTCGCACGGTTGCGTGTTAAGATTCGGCACCTAGTGTCATGCCACTGCATCGCCCATTGGTGAGTTGACTCCGATGTTTGGTGTTTGACTAGTTGTCTTTTGGTTGTTGGTTCCCAAGTCGCAAGCGATGTCACGTTCTACTGTTTCACACCCGGTGTGCGTCTGTGTGTTCACTCCCCCCCTCCCTGCCAGTAAGTCTCTGGCAGCCAAAGTCGCGGCGGCGAAGGTTAGAGACTTCTCCGTCATCGACCAGGTCATCAGAACCATCTCTGAACTGCTGTCAAGGAGCGGGATCTGGCACAGGCACTCCAAGAAGCTGCAGGAAGTGCTGTGTGACACGAATCTGGAGCTCCAGGGAATATATGACGTCCGTTGGATTTCACGGGGGAGCGCGGTGAAGCGGTTCGCGAAGCTGCTGCCTGCTGTAGTCGTGCTTCTGCACGAGTATCAGCACGAGCTCTACGGACTTGTGAAGAGTTTCAAGTTTCACTTCCTTGTGTACTTCCTGGCAGATTTGCTCGAGGTCCTCAACGACCTCAACGCGAAGTTTCAGAAGAAGCAGGTGAGGTTTATGACGGCAGTGACCTTGTGTTTGTTTAATCGCAGGCCCTGATTGTAGTCATTCTTTCTCTGCTTTACGCCCGACCTCAGGTGGACATTACACCGGTCGCTGGCGAGGTTAACCTGCTGTGCATAAAGATTGACATCCGCTACATCGACTGCGAAAACGCTTTCGGCATGGACTCACCCCTTCTGAAGAATTTCTTGAAGGAGCGTGCCAACCCCCAGTTTCGAGAGGTGACAGTCGAAGGTGTCGACAAGGAAGACGCTCCGATCGTGCATACCTTCACGCTCAGCGAGGAGCCGTGGGAAGGTCAGAAAGGCAAGGGGGACTACCCGACCTGCGTGAAGCTGTGCAGGGAGTATGCGGCGGAGGCAAAGGCACGGCTGGAGCACAGGCTGGACGACCTGCAGGATCTTAACGACGCGAAGTTGTTTCGGCCGCTCGTATACCCCGAGGATTGGGCATCATTGATGAAGAAGGCCAGGGAGTGGTTGGCTCTGCTAGATAAGCTTTTCCATTTTAAGCTCTCAGTAAGTGTATTACGCTTCAAATCTTATTGCCCCCACATGGTAAACCTCCTTCGCTGTCACATTGTTGCTGCCTTGCACGCCCTAAACTCCTCCCGCATTGCATCCTCCCTCCCCTCCTCATCCCCCCCTTCCGCCTATATATCCCACCCATTTCCCACAACTGAGTTCCCAGGGGTCAACTTCAAGACCTGCATGTCAGAGCTGCATCTCTTCCTCCACACGATGAACACCAACCACACGAATCTCGTCTTTCACAAGTCCCTGAAGCTCATGCTGAACAGCACGGACTACGAGGGAGCATACCCCAACATCGTGCGGCTATGGCAGGCGGTCGCCGTGCTGCCCCTTAGCACGGTTGAGTGCGAGAGGGGCTTCAGCCACCAGCGCATCAAGTCGTGGACGCGCAGCTGCTTGGGCGATGGGAAGCTCGAGGACCTTATGACAGTGGCCCTCGTGCAGTGCGACATGGAGTGGCTGAAGATGGTTGAGATTTTCCGAACAATCAAGGACCGCCGCCCTGCTACCCAGTTTGACAAGGCCGACTAAAAGCATCGGGAGCAGAGGGTCTCCTCTCCAGCAGCAGCAACAGCAATTGCAGCAGTAGCAGCATCACCAGCAGTAGCTGTGGCATCACCAGCACCAGCATCACCAGCAGTAGTAGCAGCAGCAGTAGCAGTAGTATCTGGTATGGTGCAGGATTAGTGCGCTATGCTTTGCAATGTGAACATCTATAATGCTAAGCAAATCTATCCAGTTAGGAATGAGTATGGCGTTTGTACACCCTGATGTGGAAAAGCACTTTGTTTTAGCACCCTTATAAACCAAAGTAAAAGTTATAAAAAAAAAAAAAAAAAAAAAAAAAAAAAAAAAAAAAAATACAGAAAAAGTGGAGTGTCATACCTACATAAAAGAATAGTCAAATCTATCAACATGTTCGAAGTTGTGTTTGCTTACTACATCTTTATCTCTGTTAAATCCAATTTTACTTTTTGTGAGGAAATTGTATTTCCCTATCCCAGGTTTTAGTTAGCAAAGCATACACTCCTATAACGTCTGCCAAAAAAAAAAAATTCACGGCACCCAAATGTGAGCCGCATACATTTCGCCCACCTTTCTGTTTCATGCCTGAATATGTGCGCTCCGCGCCAATTTACAAACCATACGGCTCAGCTCTGCCGAGCCTCGACCGTGTGCTCCAGGCCTAGCCATGTTCAAGCCCTCTATTGATTTGACGTTGCCTCATTGTATCGTTTCCTCGCTACTACCAAAATTCCACATTCGTTATTTTCCCCTCATTACACATGGTCATCAGAGTTATCAATCCCCAGCCTTGCGCTCTGGTTCCGCTGCAATACTGACACTTAAAAAAGCATACGCCCTGTGCTTACTGCATATCCGGTGTCCTGGTAATTTAATCTAACAATTACCTGCAGCCACGACTGTGTTCGTAGTGCCAGCGTGCCGAAAGCCGCCCAAATTTCCGGGAAATGATGGAGTCATCGTCGTCTGAGTTCACATCAGCCAAAGCAAGGGCAGCAGCTCTCGATCAGGAACGGCTCACTTTCGAAATGTTTCAACAAGAGTTGGTGCGCCTGCGAGCCTAGAGAGGCCGAAACTGCAAGGTTGAGGTCTTCGGGTGTACGTGCTATAATTTAGCGCAGTAAGGAATTGTAATTCCTTACACTCTCCCACATTCTAAAGAAGCCCTTTCTATACTAGAGGAGATACTCCGATGGATTAATAATCTTATGGCGAGTGTGACTCTAGGCCTTCAGAATCTTCTGACGAGCGTAATGATTACGCCGTCCTTGACGAGAATGGGCGAGCCATATCCGACGGCTGAAATTGGTCGCGGATTATTTTGATCACTGCGCGCTTATCACGAGTCAGCAATGTCGGAGGCGAAGGTGATATGATGGATATCTCCAAATCGAACGGCTGTCGACGAACTTCACTTTTGGAGGGATAATGCTAGATGGCAGAGACTGTACAACGTGGCATTCAAAACGATCGCAGTCAATCGTGACCGTTAA